CTTACAAAATGAACTGAAATAAAATATAAAGCACACATAAAATGTCTTCCGTTTAGTAAGTATTAGAAGGCACTGATGCATACAGTATGTTTATTGAGACGGATGTCTGTGAATGAATGTGTGTAATTTTAGGATGTAATACTTATTCTGAACTTCTGACTTGACTAAACTGAACTGAAAACAAAAATAAAAAACAAACTAATGAAAAATACAAGTGTCTCAATGTACTTTACAGAAAAATAACAATTACAGTTATAAAATGCAATCACAATTAATTAGATAATGGAGATAATCACTTATTGCTGACGGATGCAGCTGTCGAACTGTCTTTTAGCTTAATTTAGTTTAAATCCTGTTTTCCTTGTCTAGTTGAAGCTCTAAGAAAGCTAACCTTCAGGTCTTTGAGCTTCAATTATAAATAGCATCAGGGGGTGTTAATTCATTTATTTGTCTACCCATTCTTGTTCTCTTGCAGTACTGCTTCAGAGGCAAAGAGGTTCTGTCATGAACACGAGTGCCCGGCAAACTGGAACAATGCCAATGAAATGAACTGCTGTGTCTATCACGCCAACATCCACTCCTGTCCTCTCGGCCTCATGGTGGGTACCTAGCAGTGATACAACACGCAGTCCACCTTGTCGTCATCTTTTCCTCCTCATATAAAGAGAACAAAAGCAAGCAAATGTGATATTTAGGTCTTTATCTTTAATATTAAATTGACATTTATTTATTAGGAGTCCATTCTAATGCATGATGCATTGGTATTTATCATTTAGGATAATCTTATTACTCATGTTATTCATTGTGTTGCAATAAAGGTCCAGTGTGTAACATTTTGGAGGATCTATTTGCAGAAATGGAATATGATGATGAATATTTAACCACCATTTTTCTACAGTAGTCCAGAACGGACAAACCAAACACTGCCACTATTTTCAGGAGTTTCACAGCCACCATAGTTTCTCCTACATGCTTGGAAGGGAAGGCTGAGTTTAAATGGTTTGAATATGCAACTTGACTGCTAGATACCACTGACTCCACAAAGTACTCATTGTGCAGGCAGTGTTTTCCTATTATATATGATGTTTTTGGATTCATATTACCACTGCATTGTATGTTGCATTTTACTGCTGTAGATGTTTAAGGTTGAGATTATTTTAACTACTTTATACGGTTATTGTTTGTTAATGTATTTTATAAAATCATCTGTTTATACAGTTGCTGTCCTTTAAGAGCCACGTATCTCTAAAAAGCCAACATTTCATGAGCTTATAAATTATAAATCCAAATTGTTCTTAAGTAAGTATTCTGCTTTTTCCAGATTTTGTCTCGAAGCATCAAGATTATTTTCCGAAGTTGAATAAATTGAGATGTTATTACCCATCCACCTTGAGAAGAAAACATAATCTGAGACATATAATGATAGTTAGAATGAAAAGATATAGTAAAAAAAAAGTAAAATTTTACTTTAATAGGATTAACATTTTCCAGAGAATCAGAGACATGAACAACTTGTCAAAAAAGTTTTTTTTAAATAATAAAACCACTCCAAACTGTTGTTTTGTCTCCTTACAGAAACAAGGTGGAATCTGTGGCCCGTGGATTCCTGACGATGGTAAAATAGTGACTCACACTGTATCCAAAGCAGGCAAGATGTCCCAAAAATACTGGACTTCAAAGGTGAGACAACCCAAACAAAACTCTTGAAAAGGATGGATAATTTTTTACACGTGTTGAGGTTTGGAGAACATTTGTAAAACATTCTTAAAGTCCTGTTATGTTAACACAGTTCATTTTATGTATTATTATCAACACACATATCTCAGAATCATCCTCCACTGTCTACTGGGTAAAATTTAGTTTGTCAAATAGCAGATGTTCAACTTTAACTTTGTTGTCTGGAGGGAAAAACATAAAAGTCATAATCATAGTGACACATCCTTTGTAAATCATGCAGTTATGTTGCTATGTCACAATGATAGCAACATTAAACAAGGCAGCATGTTGTCAGCAGGAAATTACAAGAGTAAAGAAAGCCAGACTTTGGGTTGTGGCTTATCAACTGACTGTTAAGTAAAGTACAGAAAACTGAATAAAAAATGAATTAATATATAATACAATTTTATTGTTGTGGTTAAAATAAAAAAAAGGATTCTCTTATAAAATCCTTAAAAGAGCGATAAAGACAATCACATCTTTATACAACTGATACATACACCTACAGCTCTAATTTAGGTTTGTTTGGATTCCTTTTTAGTCATAATGAAGTAAAGTATGACAGTTATTGGAGGGATTTATATCTTTGAATATTGTTTTCAGCTATAATAACATAATTTTGTTGTTTAATTGTTTGACTTACAAATATACAACTCTTTTATAGTTCAAGTGCATTCTAATTCATATGATGCTGTTTTCTCGTACAGGTGGTGCTGATCCATGTGGGAGTCACCTCAGTCATCGCTCATATCAAAATAGGACAGATGCATGCAGCCCTGGAGTCCAAAGTGCTTGTTGTCAGCGCTCAAGGTCAGGCTGCTAACACTCACACAAAGTTTCCATTTGTTGATATGTTGAATCAGTTTGTGCTGAGTAATGCATCTGCTGCTCAGCTGTGATCCAGTAAAAGTTGTTTTATTAACCAGACAAAGACAAACAGCGTATCCTTGTTTACATCCCAAACCTGTACAGAAACAGAAGGGAAAAGGTCAAACTGTGTGTGACCTTGCAGTATAATAGCAATCATTTCAAAACAATCAGCTGAGTTACAATAATAAACTTTATTTTCTACTTGCTGATAAAGAACTAGATAGCAAACACAATTAACTGTCTGCAGGAGAGATATGTGCATATTTTTATTCAAATATTTGTATGTTAAAGGTCCAGTGTGCAACATTTAGGAGAATCTATTGGCAGAAATTGAATTTGTTTTCCAAACCGATGTTTCATTAATCACCTGAAAATAAGAATCTTTATGTTTTTGTTGCCTTAGAATAAGCTGTTTTAATCTACAGATGAGGTTCAACATGGCGACTCCATGTTGAACTGCCATGTTTGTACAGTAGCCCAGAACAGAAAAACCAAACACTGGCTCTAGACAGAGGCATTTGTGTTTTTCACACAGGGAGGGTGAAGCGAAGGAGTTACACCTGCTATATGCCACTAAATGGTACACGCTGATCCTTCAATGTATACGTAATTGTCCTTGAAACATCATGACCCTAAGTAATGTTTGCTACCTGTGTGACTTTAAGTACTGAATTTAAGTTCAGTTTTGTTTCCGTTTTCTACAGTTTGCTACTTAATAGTTCTACTCCACTACATTTATTTGATCAATTTAGTTACTTTGCAGATTCAGATTGATAAAAAAATGTAATCAACAAATAACTGCAGGATATAAAAATTATAAAGCTCAATCTTTAAAGTGTTGTACACATGAATGCATCAATAATTACAATCCAATCATATAATATACATTATTCTTAAATGAACCAGCCCGCATTATGACTATTTAGAATATTGACTGTAATACTGTAAATGTAAAATAGTGATTGTGTTTCAGTGTGTGGGGATGATGTCTGCGAGCTGGAGGAGAACTGTCTGAACTGTCCTGCTGACTGTGGCATCTGCCCGATGTCCATCACTATCAAGGTGGCCATCGGGCTCCCAGTTGCTCTGTTCAGCACCGGCTTCATCTTAACTATGGTGGTCAGTCTGTGCAATACACACACACACACACACACACACAGGGGATGTTCCATGTGCTGATGTTTATCTTAATTTTCTCTCTGCAGTGGCTCCAGTACCAGAAACAGAGGATGTTTTGGGATGAAAGCTGGATCATCAACTACAAGAGCATAATATTTGGTAAAATGTCTCACACCAGTAAAAGACACAGTTTACAGACATATTTCTGCAGAAAACATAACTTACTTGAAAGCTCTACACTTTTACTTTCTTTTAAGACTTCAGGAATGGATCACTTTAAAAACCTATTAGTCTCTAAAACCCGTGCCTTTCCATTCTTCTGCGGGTGTCAATGACACCTCGGGTCCTGTATCAAAGAATCTGCATTTGTTCAACTCATTCATTCATTATATTGGTTATATCTGTTGTTGCTCGGTGAACTGCACTCAAATTAAGTTTTAATAGTAAGAGCGGGTTAGGGTTGGGGTTAGGTGAAGTCTATTTTACCCTTTCTGTATCCTCCAATAAAATAATTTTGTTATGCATGGATCTGGAGTTTTGTGCAGTAAACTGACCCTGTGTCTGACATAAGTACTCTGGTGTCTGCAGGTAAAGCGTGCTACATGGGCCTCGGCAGCACCACCAGTCTGCAACATGTCAAGAGTAACTCCACCATCAGTCAATCTACTAATGTGACTGTTTGTACTGGGGTCAACACCTCCATCAAACAAGGCTTCATCCAGCCAGGCATCTAGTGAGAAATGTCTATATTATTTCTCATAAATCAGAAACATTCAGTTAACGGAAGTAAAATAATGTAATTTCTATTTCTTTTAGACACACTTTCTTACTATTTTACTCTTTTGCTGTGTGGATCAGTAAAATGCAGACAATACTATCTACTATATGGATCAGCATTACAAAGTTGTAGCTGCGTAAGTAAGATAAGACTTTATTGATCCCCAGAGGGGAAATTCACATTACAGCAGCAGCAGCAGCTGAGAGGCAGTGCTGTAGAACAGATTAAGTCTTTAAATTAAATAAATAAAAAAAGAAAATGAGAAAAAAAAATCAATTATTGGGATGACATTCAAAAGCTACACCTGCCATGATGTGTGGACTATATGGTATTTAAGTAAGTATATCTGGGTAGGTATTAATAAAAAGTACAATGTACGTAATAATGATATAAGTAATATCACAACTTGGCTTGACTTGTGTGACGAAAGAGGGAGACTACATATAGCCTGGAAATAATGCTCTATGTTTGATCAAGTAGAGGCAAATAATCAGTAAAACAGTGAATGTCAGCAGGTCAGTATATCTGCAATGTCTGTGTGAGGTGAGGACGTGAGGTGTGTGTCTGTGTGTGTGTGTGTGTGTGTGTGTGTGTGTGTTTGTATGAGAGAGAGTCTGAAACACAAAATTCAACCAATAACAAGTTCAAGTGGTAAGCCAGCAGAAGGAACTGAGAAAGGTCTGATTTTTAGCTGGGCTCAGGAGGATGAGTCTTAGCTCCACCCCTTACTTGTCCTTCAACAAGAAGGAACATAATAGGGCCAACCCTGAGGCCGTCACAGTAATAATACAATACTATTCATATATAATTGAAGTCAAAGACAATACTATGGTTTTGCATATAATACAATCATATAAAAGCACAATAATAACAATATAGTAGTAATACAGCATTGTCATATAGTGATATAATTAATATAATGCAATGCAAAGTAAAATAGTAACATAGATATTTTACTACTTTCTCCATTTTATTCAATAAATTCTGTATTTAGGTAATCAAGTTGACATGAATGTAACTGTGTTGCAGTGATGGGAGGATAGTGGCGGTGAAACACATCCAGAATAAACATTTCACCCTCTGTAAAACCATCAGGAAGGAGGTGAAAGAAGTTAGGTAAGGAAAATCCTGCAGAGGGAGAGGGAAATATATACTGCCATAATAAAGTCTTGTGCCCCAAATGAAAGAACACTTCCTGCAGCTTATGTCATTTTTTATATTGGCTACAGGCAACTGGACCACCCCAATCTATGCAAGTTCATCGGTGGTTCCATCGAGGTCCCCTATGTCACCATCATCACAGAGCACTGCCCCAAAGGAAGCCTGTCTGATGTTCTGCTGAATGATGACATCCCCATCAACTGGGGCTTCAGGTGACAAAAATTCCCATACAACTTAATATTTTACATTTTTACCATTTAGCTGATGTTTGGATCTTTTTTTTAATTTTTTTTTATTGAGAGTATTAATATTTTGGTGGTAACTTTTATTTGCCTATTTTAGCTTTTTGTGCAGTGACACTCTCACCTAGGAGCTAAAGATCACTGAGTGCTCCTGATTAGATGATGGATTTTTGTGGTGTGTGATGTCAACACGATATGATGAAATGCAAAATGTATTTTGCTGAATAAAATGTCAGCAGGAAATGTCAAATTGTGGTGTCAAACCTTCAGATGAGCAATAAGGACGAGCTGCTTTCCAGACTCAATATTTCCCACTGCCATTCAACAATCACACAAAGGAAAAAGCTATTATAGTAAAGACAAACGTACTGTATTTCCTCAGTAGACCATAATGCAATGCAAGCTACGAGACATTATATTTTTGTGCTGTGGGTGTGGCATGACCCATTGGTAGAACTCAATAATATCTAAGAGTGTTTCTTTCCCTGTGCAGACTGTCCTTTGCCACAGACATCAGCCGTGGGATGTCTTATCTTCATCAGCACAAGATGTTTCATGGGAGACTTCACTCCAGAAACTGTGTTATTGATGATCGCTGGGTGTGCAAAATCTCAGGTAATGATACATCATCCTCAGACACAATTTCAGTGTGCAGTCAAAGTTTTTGTCATTGTTATGTTCTGTTTTCAACAATTACACATATAAATATGATAAATAACTCAACATACACAGTTTAAACACACTAAGAAACGCTAAGAAAAAGAAACATCTCTTTATAGGACTCATTGCAGTCCTCAGCCACATCCTACACAAGTAGCAATGTTATTATCAAGGCAGAGAGAAAAACAACATCCTGTGTCGCAGTACTCTGTATTTTTCTGTGTTTGGCTTCAGATTATGGGCTCACAACCTACAGAAAGGAGGACTTTGAGGCCATCAGCAATGGCTTCAATTGTGGGGATGTAAATCGTATATATTGTGCCCCAGAGGTCCTGCTGGGAAGCAGCTCCAATATGACACCAACAGCAGATGTCTACAGGTGTGTTTGAGTGTCACAGTATAAGCAGTTAATTTTGGATTGCGATATTTGGACCACATGGAAATTTGATGCAGTTATATTACAGATGTGGAAACTGAGTTATGGTGGAAGGACTCACATCTTCATACATATAAAAACTGTTGCTGTTGAATCTTAGCAACTGCACTGGAAAATAATATCCTTTCTCTACTTTCCCCTCAGCTACTCCATGATTCTGGTTGAGATTGCTACTCGCTCTGACCTCATGTCAGTGAGTATGACAGCCCTCTCTGTAGATTACAACCTTCGGCCTACTTTTGATCTTAGCTTTGTAACCAGCAGTCTTCTCTAACAGGACCAGACTGAGGAAATGAGGATGGATCTCATGTGGCGCCCCCCTTTGCCTGAACTCAAAGCAGGGAAGGCAGATACTGACTGCCCCAGTGAAGGAGACTACTGGGAGGTCTGTCATATGTGCAAATGTTAGAAATGTTACTAGAACTGTGTAGGGAAAGATGCAAATGTAAGCTTTGTATTATATGTCATTGGCATATTACTGTATGAACATATTAGACAATGAGGTGTTGCTCTCTTCTCTGGAAAACATTGAGCAGCTCATTAAGAAGTGTTGGTCTCATAACGTCACCATGAGGCCCACGTTTGACCAGGTGAAGAAGATGCTCGACAAAATGAACCCACACAAAGTCAGCCCTGTGGACATGATGATGAACCTGGTAATAACTCTGAAATATGGGGAAATAGAATACAATAACATTGGTGTAAAAATTCACATTACGCATTAAATCTATCATTAAATATACCATCTATAATGCAACAGTATCTGGATCCAAACCTACATTTCCAAAATGGCTGTATATCAAAGACAAATGCTTGGGTTTGTTGGGTTTCTTTATCTGCAGATGGAGAAGTACAGCAAACATCTGGAGGCCATAGTTGCTGAGAGAACACAGGACCTTCTTCAAGAGAAACAGAAGACGGATCGGCTGTTATACAGTAAGTCAGGATAACAGTGTGGAGAGATATGAGAGAGTTGCATGGCTCTAGTGATTGACCCCAAGCAGAATCATGCTGTGCAAGGGTAAGGAATTTGTCTCGGTGACATTGCAGAGATAAGCTTATTATGAAAAGGGTGATAAAAAAACCCATAAAATATACAAATATACATTCATACAATAAGTGCATTCATTGCACAGTGCAGCACATAGAAAGTTGTTTAAGGCAGAGTTAGCACTGTTTAGTTAATGCCAGTATTCATATGAGTTACTTTGTGTAGTTTAAAGGATTAAAGGACACAATCATATGTGCTCACTGCCATCTAGTGGTGTAGCACCGTCATCGTTCCTCCCCGTCATCCCAGAAACTGAACATTTTACAGCATTTTAAGTCATGAAATTCCTGTGCAGGTATGTTACCAAAACCGGTGGCTGATGACCTTCGTCAAGGTCGAACAACAGAGGCTCAGAGCTTCTCCAAAGCCACCGTCTACTTCAGGTGTGTGTTGTGTAAAGCAAGCTCATTACCTGGAGTTATATTTTTTGATGGACATTTGTCCAGTTGTATATTCTCTAGAGTTAATACAACATTGCTAAATTTTGATTTATTTTTTTGGTAAACATTTCCCCCTGAATACATTGTTACATGCAATTCGGTTCTTTCTTTTTAAAAGATTGTTTGGTAATACACATGTTGAACTACGGACGACTGACACTGTATTGCTTCCTTTTGGACAGTGATATTGTCGGCTTTACTCAGCTGTCTGGTGCCAGCACTCCCCACCAGGTCGTGAACTTTCTCAACCAGCTCTACACCACCTTCGATGACATTATTGACAATTATGACGTTTACAAAGTGGAGACAATAGGCGATGCTTGTAAGTAAGGATGAGAAACTGGTTTTGAACTACCAACACAAAGTGATAAATAATTTTGTCAAAGCACCATTAAAATAAAATTTGTTTTTAAATCTACGCCGGTTTGAAAATAAGGATAAAAAAATTAGATGATAGGCAGATCCACAACTGAAATTAATAAATGAAGAGTCTGAGGGGTGGATGTGTGTTTTGACATTCATTTCACATTTTTGTTGTCTGTTTTCATGAAATAATGTCTAACCCCTTCAGACATGGTGGTCTCGGGGGTCCCTCAAGAAAATGGCATCAATCATGCTGGAGAGATAGCCAGCATGGCTCTTGATCTGGTCAGTGTCTGCCACACTTTCGAGATCCCTCACAAACCAAACACACAGCTGAAGATACGCGCCGGCATCCACTCAGGTAATGTGGACATCAGTTTACAATATATCAGTTTTTTTCCAACCTCATACTGAATACCATTTCCCAGATGAATTGTGCTTTAAGTTTCAAAAACGCATAATACATGAATCTCAATAGCAGGAAGATAAACTTTCGTGCATTATTTTCCCAGAAGTTAAAATAACAGATGGCTTTCAGTGCACAGAGAGCGCAGTACAGGTTTTACAATCGCCTGTGGTTGCAGAATGTGAAAGAGAGTAACCTTAAACAACCTGGATGCATATATGAGAAGCTAAATGTCAGTCAAATTAAATGTAAATGCAGCATAAATTGTAATAAGAGTTTTTACTTGTATTACTTTAAAACGGTTTGTCATTTTATGTGCAAGACCAAAATTATGAAGATATTACAAGCCATTCAATAAGGTTTTCCAAATCTGATCATGATAAAAATGATTATGCATAAAGCATTATTTTTGTGATAATTTTCCATTCTATGTCTTTCAACCCTGACCCATCCACCCTCGGCCAAACAGAACAATGTTAAGAGCATTATCACATGACTCATCATCATTAACTCTGTTTGGATTTAACACATTAATATTACAGTTTCAGTTCTCTGCACTCTGGCTTTCTTTTAGCAGGTTGTTCATGTTCACAATCATTGATTTAACTACTTCATATATACATATGTCTGTAGGTAAGATAACTCTAAAATGAGTGGGCTATGATCCCTTTAAGTAACCTTCATTCACTAACACGATTATGCAATGTCATACATTATACAATATTATCCACTAAAAGTGTTCACTGTGGTTTACTCTGCAAGGACCTGTTGTGGCTGGTGTGGTTGGCACCAAAATGCCTCGCTACTGCCTATTCGGGGACACTGTCAACACAGCGTCACGGATGGAATCAACAAGTGAAGGTAATGAAGGATTAGACACACTGCCTTACATCCAATTAATGTCTCGAAGTGGAACAGTTGGTTTCAAATATCAAGTTGATTTCACTTTAACTTCTACTGTGTTAATACTGTCCCGCACTGATTCAAGAGTTAGGCTGCAGTGTTGTTGTAACTGGTTTCAATGGCAGTTCAGAGTTAGCCTTTGGCCTGTCGCTGCTGCTATTGTGCCAAACAGGACTGTCTCTGTGTTTGCTCACCAGCACAACACAGTGGAGTTAACAACATGGAGGATGGAACAATGTGCTCACCAAGTACCTAATCCTCTGCATTAATCCACAGGGATAATGGAAGAGCACTGAGTGACTGTAGGCTCAGATTGTAGCCTCAGAAGTAAAAAACAAAATTTTAAACTTTATAGATAAATATAATTTTAAAGGCCCAGTGTGTAAAAAAAAAAGAGGGTATATTGGCAGAAATTCAATATATTATTCATAGGTATGTAGTGTATAATCACCTGAGTATAAGAATCATTCTGTTTATGTTACCTTAGAATGAGCCATTTGTGGGGGCTACAGAGGGGAGACCACCATGTTGAACCACCATGTTTCTACAGTAGCTTGAACTGGACAAACCAAACACTAACTCTAAATAGGGCCATTCTCGTTTCAGGGGGAATTGTAGTTTCTCTTTTTGACAGGGGACGGTGAAGCGAGGGGGTTTCAATCTGCAACTACACCGCTAGATGCCACTAAATCCTCCACACTGGACCTTTAAACTCTGAGATAAAACTTAACTTGAAAAGGAAAATCTAAGTCATCCAAATTCTCAGAATGAAGTTTGTGCACACGGTGCAGTACTTTCCATTCTGTGTGCCTCTTTGTAATTTTTTCCATAGCTCTGAAGATCCAGGTGAGTGGTGCCACCGCTGACCTGCTTCACACACTAGGAGGTTACGTTCTGACATGCAGAGGAACACTTAATGTGAAGGTAACTTTATATTCATATATAATATGTTTATATATATATAACCTGTGTTAAAGTATATTGCAGTGACAAAACCATAACCATCAATACAACAAATGTATACTGAGCTTCATGAGACTGTTACTACTACTACTAATTTGTACTGGAGGAAACATACTTCTCAACACAAAACACAGAGTGGAGGGTTTCCTTCAGTACATTCCTGGTCATGGTCATGGTGGTTGCTGTAGTGATTAGACCTTTTGTTGTGTTGGAAAGCAAATCTCACTGGGATGAGCAGATATACACTTAGTTGCCATGTTTATTACTAAGCTAAAACTAATACAGCTGTCCTGCAATAAATCTTACGCCCATGAAGTTTTTTATATAATTTTTTCCACCTTATTTATATCAATGACAGTAGTAGGCCGAATAACAGAAACATCTCTTTGTATAATGCAAATCAACAGCACCACAAACTACAGCCACCAAAATCACCATACATTTGAATAAGCACCTCAACAAATAACTTCCTGAAGTTTTATTACAAGACAGTTGTATGAGACTGTATTAGTTTTAGCTATAGGTGTACCTAATAAACTGGAACTGAATGTATATTTACTCAATATATACTCGATACATTTTGTAGCATGTAATGCTATTTCTACCTGTTTTAATATAGCCCATGTTGTGGATGTAATTTTTTTTAAAAAAGCAAAATAGACGCAGTGATAAGATAGTGGCTGTAGAAGAAGTCCAACCTTTGAAACTGACTGAAAAAGACAAACGGATTTATGAGGCTGAGATTTGAAAAGATGACAGGAAATTCAAAACTTCCCTCCAAGGGAAAGAGACTGGGTGTGTCTGGTATTTGTTCTCTCTTCCAGTATTTTATTATCCTGCTCTATTGGCTTCTATTCACATTGCAACCCAAGACCTCTTTTTGGGTGGTGCCAGTGTAATTATGGGGGAGGGGGTTACTTCTCAGTCCCAACGGACAGGGTCTACATTGCTGACACTTGTGATGTCTTGCTAAGAGAGGTGGCCTCAGCTGCTGCTCTCTGCCCCCCATCAAACCCTAATGGCTTTATTTAAAATTCAAACGACCACATGCCTTGCAATACGACTCTCTTCTCTCTCTCTCTCTCGTTCACTCTCTCATTTTCTTGACCTGACAGGGAAAAGGGGACATGACAACATGGTGGCTGGAGGCAAAGAGAGATGATCACACAGACCCACTGCTCAGAACAAATGAATCCAGAGCAGTCCCAGTGCCAGTTAGTGACTAGATCTGGGTACAGCCTAAAATGTGAAAATAACTGCATGAAAACTGGTCAGGCTTTGTGTTGTGCAATTGAATTGTGTCTAGTGAGCTACGCCGGGGTTAAATGTGCAGATAATAGGATGATCAAATAATTGATCATGAGTTTAAATATCGTACTGAATTGTAAATCCAGTAGAAGTGTTAAAAAGTATTTGTTGTTATGATGGTTCCATTGTTGTGACCAGAAGTAATGATGACAAGCAAAATCCCTCTGATGATAATTTGTAGAAATAACTAGAAATGCACAATATTACCAAAAAACTAACTAACTAAGAACATGTTCACAGATTATATAATAAATATATTTGTCTTTTGCACTTTTTGGGAAGAATGTAAGAAAAATATGCAGAGAAACATGCCAGAGTTGAGGAAATGTTGTTTTAATCACACATTATTACAATGTTTTGTTCATATACAGCTTTATTTGTATTCTTGCAACCTAAGGCACTTTTTTACTGGTAAATTAAAGGTAATGGAGATATTCACTGCCTGAAAATTAAGAGAACCATCTCTCACGATACGTAAATAAAAACATTTTCAAGTACTTATAGATAAACACCATCTGATTCCTTACATTTCAAACATTTTGACTTAGAACTGGCATTTGAACAGGTAAAGGCCACATAGCAGACAATATGTCATAGAAGGAAAGGCACAGGTTTAATCAATAAACATACATTTATTTTATTTTTTAAAACCATTTTGCAGTGATTGCTCATGGGTGTTGCTTCTTTGGAAATTAGAAAACAGAGCCATTATTAATGCTGTAAGTTTACACGTGCTTTTTCTTTTATAACAAGTCATAGTTTTTTTTTGTAAAGAAGTACTTTGGAGCCAAACTCTTCCATTTAAACTACTTGTTATTTCCAAACTATGTAGTTTGCCTTGAATTTTCCAATTTTGCATGCCTTGTTGATGCAGAATAGATTCACACACGGACACCTAGCCAACTGATCCACTCACTACTTTTGTAAAATACGAATGTACAGTTGTCTGTGGTAGTTTTTTTTTATGGTATTGCTGACTGTGTAGTGCAATGAGCTATTTTATTGTATTCTTATAGTCACCGATTGTATAAATGACATTAAAGTTAATTTAAAGTTATAATTGTGTTCATTCTTACGGTGCATCTATCTGGTTACAAATGAAGAATAGAGATACAGTCCATAACTTTCATGGCATCATGTCAGTGAAATGAAAATTTAAATAGGCCTAGCTGACCAAGTCCAGGGGTTGGTATTTCTAAATATAATGAACATAAAAATATTTTTATTTGACAAAAAGCACTGTTTAAAACATAAAGTAATAATACCACAAGTAAAAACACAAAAAGTGTTTAAACAATAACACTGGTAAAATTAAAAAAAAATTAATTGCCGTTAAAAACGCTTGAAGTGTCTCGACGGCCGAGAGCCAATCATATTGAGCCGTGCTTGGTTGCTAGACAACGAGTCGGCCAATTAGCGTGCTGTTTGGTCTGCGTGCAGTGGTGTGTACTGTCATTTGGACCGACATGGATTAAGGGGCTGCCGGGTCGTGAAGCGAGCAGCGATTGGGAAATACAACTGCAAACTGCAACATTTAACTAAGTACTGGAGACATTTTTCTACTCTTTTATTTATGAAGTAAACGTTTTAAACCCCTGCTTCCGTAACTAGGCAACTTGTTTGGCTAAGATAGCCGTTCGGCTTCAATGTCTGATTGTTTTCAGGTTGGAGGAGGAGGAGGAGGAGGAGGGGTTACGTTTGGTTAGTCTGCTGTGTAAAGAAGATAAATAACCTTTGATTTGTTTTATTTTCTTATGAATGAAACATGATTTGGACGGCGTCTTGAAATAGCTAGCTAGTTAACACCTTTATAACATTAATAACAGTGTTATCTGTATGTAGCTTACAGTACAGTGAAGGTAAAATAATGTGACACAACCAGCGTTTGTTTTACTTAACCTGTCAGAGGGTTATGTAGAAGTAATATAACTCTATTGATATTCTGTGCAGTCCCAGCAATGAGAGAGTTGCTGAGATGTTTAATAAGTACACTTACATGACATAAGTTACATTATTCTTCTTACTGCATTAAGGTAACTTCAAATGGACTGCAGAGACATTGTGACATTTTACAAACCTAGGATATTTAAATACATGTTTACTAGATACACCTACATAAAAATAATACAATCTAATACAACGAGTCTGCAATAAATCCTACAGAAAGATTTGTAATGTTCAGTTTTTTGTTTAGGTTTTGTTTTGTTTTCAGCTTTGTTTAAAAAAGAGAGGTGTGGGTTCAACTCTATGGTGCTTTTGAACTGTGTTGCATTAATGTTGTACTGAGGGCTGTTTCTATTTTTTTTTCCCCCAACTCACAAACAAGGGGTGACAAAATAGATTACTAAAAACTGAACATTTTACTTACTTACTTTGTTTAAGGTCGGGTTTATTATGTGGCTGCCACCCCTCACAGTTTAAAATCAGCTTTAATATATATAATAAATATATTATTATCATACATCCGAGGGACCACAACCCTTAAAATCTGCTTGGTAAATCCTTACGTAGAAATATAGTCCCTTTGGAGACTTTACGCTGTAAGTTTGACTGAAGAGTTAAAGGTTAACACTTGTTGAGTAGTCAGTCTAAGCAGGGTCTAGCCTTATTAAGCTTAGTGGCTGTAGGCTTGCCATCTGTCTCGCCAGGCTGATTAAGTGTCACTGAAACCAAAGGGTAGCTCCCCTGAGTTGATGTCTAACCACAGCCTTTTTTCATGACTAAAAATCTATGAAAAATTAAATTCCCAAAGTGTTTGTGAATTTTTAAAAGCAGCTTCTACTCACGTCCCAGTTGTTATCCCAGGATGACGTATTGTACGTGAAACTTAAAAGGTCTCAGTGATATCCGTGTACAGTATGTTGGCATTACTCCTATAGGAGGAAAAATGTTTTCATGGTTTTTGTTCCTGATTGTGTGGTTCTGCAGATAAATCACCACGCTGTCTGTCTGGGATTAGTCCGATCAGCTGTTGATAAGAGCATTGAGATAAGATGCAGGCCTGGTCCCAAACCGGCAACCTGTTAAATACGCCTGCGTTGACCAGAACAACAGCTACAACAAGATCAGCACAGCAATCGTTGAGACTGTTTAAATAAACACACATTTTAACGTAGGATTGTAATGTACAATGGCTACCAGTACACTATGTGATCACTTCTGATTGCCTGTGACGGACGAACTAATTAGCCTGTGTGAACCTGCTGCCCTCAACTTATTTAGGTTGCGGCGTGTTTCCAGCCCTCACCGCTACATGTTGACTTCCATCGCTGTGTAATCCAGACTGTGTTGAATGGGCACTTCTAATCCGACCTTCCTATTTCAGGAGCAGAGTGCGTAGGTGGATCTTGTGGCGAGCTTTGTGCGTCTTGTGCACATGTAGTTGATGATCTAGACACGTAGCCTGAAGGCTGCACTGCAACAATGCCAGAATCCTCCCTGGGTGAGTTCAGATTTTGACATCTTTGAAGACAAATACGCACTGTGAATGAGACACGTTGAGCAGTTGTCTGTTATTTCATTATCACCCTTACACATGTAAGAAACTGTACAATATTTGTAACATGATTTTGACTTTAAGTTACTGAAGTACAGTGCTGCTGTGTTCTGGCCTCAGCAGTTGTGTGTAGGTTACTATATCATTTTGTGCTCTGTATCAAACAGAGTAAGTTAGGAACAGGTTAAACTAACAAAGACAGCAGATGGGCGCTATTATTGGATTCTGTGCCAAAAGTGACCTCACTTCCTTGTGTCTTCCCTTTCGTATCAAGCATTATCCTGTATATATGTATATATATATATATATATCTGACAGGCATTTTTCTCCCCTGAAGTCAAGGACATTTGCAGCAGTTCTGTTGAATGTAGAACATCCCCCTTGAGGCAATTTAGCCAATCACCGCTGCCACTGCACAGAAAGCCCTACATGCTCAGTACCTTCTGCACAGAGAACAACGTGCAAGAATGTTTATCGCACATCAGTCAGGTTAGTAACCTCTGTCTTTGATGTATTATTAGCACCGTTTTTTATATGTAAATACCCGTGCCCAGTGGTCTAAGACATGTACAATATGACTACGATGTCCTGGGTTGAGTCTGGCTGGTCCTCCCTATCCTCTGCTGTATGTCATGTTCTTCCTTTATTTTCCCTTTTTACAGGAGGTGTCATCTCTTGGCCTCCCACCAGTTTGGACAGAGTCGGGCAGCTCAGAGATGAACGTCGTGGCTGTGCTGAATTGCATGTATGACCTGATTCAGCTGCACCACAGGGGCCTCCGAACCCTGGAAAACATGGAAGTGGAGCAACTTAAGTCCAGCAGCAATGTGGACTTCCTGCAGCTCACCAGCACCAGACTAAAAGTACAGTAACATTTAAATCAAGTGATTCCTCCATATTAGTATTGTATTCAGATGAAAATATAGATAACTAGTCAAATGTGAAAGCAAATCTAACCACCTCAGGAGTTGCTTGTCAATACTGAAAATATTAACTGCCATATTAAATGCTCATGTCCATGTCAATGTTATTTTGTTATCATAGGAGCAGCTTGAGCAGTCCAAAAGAGAAAACATGGGACTCCTTGAGAGAGAACGACAGCTACAGCTTAAAGTGAAGAGTTTGCAAAACTGCCTGAAAAATGAGAAAGAAGAGGTACTTTCTTTATAATTACTGCCCTTGACCAAGCTGAGTGAATTCACAGACAGTTCTATTTTGTCTCAGGTGGATAATCATAACCCTTTAAAAAAAAAAAGTTTTAACTTGTTTTATTTCCCCCTGCTAGGTGCAAAAACTTCAGAACATAATTTCAAGTCGGGCCAGCCAGTACAATCATGAGATGAAAAGGAAAGAAAGAGAATTTAACAAACTGAAAGAGCGCTTGAATCAACTTCTGGTTGACAAAAAGGAAAAGAAACAAGGTTAAATTCAGCCCCATCGTTTGCCTTAATGTCTAACATTTAAAATTAAATCGTACATTTTTAGACCCTTCAATTTCTCATTTTCTTCATTTGTCTTTCTTGCTTTCAGCCATTGATGTATTAAACAGCATTGGAAGAGCAGATGGAAAGAGAAGTCTTTGGAAAACTGAAAAGACAGAGGCAAAGTAAGTTCACTTCTTGTGTTTCTTTTTGTCTACCTTGTCTCTGAAGACTTATTTGTGTAATAAAAAAATGCAGGAACACAGGAAAAAGAAATAAACGGCATTATCTGAGAAAGTTCTACTCATCCTACTTTTGTGCCAGCTCTCAAACAAGTTGCACATCAGCTCCTTTGCCAGTTATCTAGGTGACAGATTTATTTTAAGAACATAGGTTTCAAACATAGGCGGCACTGCTGAGTCCAGTATGTTACTGTGGTTTTAATGAATGTACACAAGATGAACATGTATATGATAAAAATATATGATTGTCTCTCTCATCCCAAGGCATGAGGGGGAGATGTACAAGACTCTACTGAGCGACTATGACACCCGACAAAGGGAGTTGCTGCTGGAAAATGCAGAGTTGAAAAAAGTGTTGCAGCAGATGAAAAAGGACATGGTGTCCATTCTGAGTTCAAGGAAGCCACCGCTGAAAGGAGACAAACATCAAGATGATGGCGTACAGGTAGGACAAGTTTTCTCTGCTTTAACATTCAGCAATAGAAAGAGAGATACTTCTTTTTAACTGCAGAGTAGTTGTTTCCAAGTCACTGCTCTCACCTGTTACCAAAACCCCCTTTTCCCTTTTTGTTCCCAGTATTTAAGTTGTGGAAAGATACCTAAAAACATCGATTGCAAAGTGGCTCATTAAGCAGAGAAACACAATAACCACGGCTGAAATGTATCACAGCTTGACTGACAGCTGATAATAATACTTATGCCTGTTATTTAGTCTTTCAGTCATGTTAACCAGATGTTCTACCAATAGATTGAAAAACATTTCCATTGTCATTGGCAGGCTGACTCAGAGGAGGAAGAGGGAGTGTTTGATTCCAGTAAGGAAAGCGTAGAGCTGTATTGTGTTCATGCCCGGGAGAAGCTCACCAACAGTATTCGCCTCCAGTGGAGAAGACTCAAGAGCCACGTTGAGAGACTGGACAGCCAAGGTAGTCATCATGCAGCCTACTGTCAATGTTTGACCTTGATACACAAAGGAATATAACTTTGTTTCATGTAAGGAAGTCTCAAAAGAGAAATATTATCCCTTGTGTTTGTACTATTAAAGTGTCAAAAGAGATTAAAGTCATAAAACAAGAAACAATAAAAAGTATAACAGTCAGAGTAACCAAAGGATGCTTACTTTATATACTGATGCCACTGGTCTGGCCACTGGTAATGTGCTTTCTGTTATTTGGTCAGTTCTCTCAGTTCGCTAAAACTCAAGAAAAATCTGAACAACATCTAATAAACACACAGACGGAAGAATTGTCCAATGGCATTCAAGACTGGATCCTTACTTCCTGTTAAAATCAATACATAGAAGATTGATGTAATTGTTAAATTAGATTTTCTGTTTTTTTTCAGCATCCTTGGCTCAGATGGGCGAGAGTAAAAACACTGATGCTGTTTCCAGAGAGACTCATGAGGAGGAGATGGACAGATTGAAGCTGGAGATCCAGCAGTGCAAAGACTTCATTCAAACACAACAGCAGCTCCTGCAGGTAAGACTGAATTTACCTTGAAATCTTAGCCATAAAGCTCCCTGGAGAGTTCATGTTCATTAGTAGCCAGTGGCAAGGGTTTTACATTGTAAATGAGTTGAATTCTATCATCTCATTTCTCTCATACTTGATCATTTTAGCTTTAACACATTGTTTACTGAGCATTTAAATTGAAACCTTGTTTGCAGGTTGGAGGAAAGATACTGTATTTTATTTGCTTGCAGTACTTAACACTTCTTTCACTCTAGCTGAACAAAGCATTCCTGTTTTTTTTTTTTTTTCTTGTAGCAGCAGCTGAGCTCTCAGTGTGATGAGGAGACAGTATCCCTGCTGAGTGACTGCTACATGCTGCAGGAGAAAGAGCGCCTCAGAGAGGAGTGGAAGACCCTAGAGGAACAGAGAAAGATCTTTGAAAGGGAGAGGAAGAACTTCACTGAGGCAGCTATAAGACTTAGCCATGAGGTGATTTACTGTATTTTTTCAAATTTTGCTCTGTGAGCCAAGATGACTTGTTTATATCTGTGTGCTCATTTAAAGTTTAAAAAGTTTGTTTTTGAGATGACATCTGGTTTACTTGCAGAGGAAGGCCTTCGAGGAGGATCGAGCAACATGGCTCAAACACCAGTTTTTAAACTTGAGTCCATTTGCTGACTCAAAGAAACCCCCGATGTCAAAGTCTAAAAGTGCCTTTTTGATATGTGAGTGTGTACTGCTTCACAATGTGCTGGCCCAGTTCACCCTTGTCTTGATATTAGAATCTTCCAAAATTATTTGTTGAATAATAATCATACTCATTAAACCGAATGGTAATGAAACTCACAGGTAATCAATAGTCTGAACAATGTGCTGATCATTCTTTTATGTGATGGAATTTAATTTAACTGAACTTTTACTTTTTTACTTATTTGAACTACAATATGGAGTTTATATTACAATTAGTTTGTTGTTTTTATTTTTATTAATCAATAAGTCCCTTTCCTGACACGGATCAAAACAGTTTTATCTTATCTTTGCAGCTGAAACGAAGGTGAGTGCAGGGTCGGCTCCAGAAAAGCTCACCAGATGCCCATCTAACATAACCTCCTCCACACCCAGATGTGTCCCACTCACATCACCATCAACAGCCGACCTGCATCGCACACTTTGCCTTATCCAAGAAAACAGGTAAAGTCTGTATTCGCACAGTGATTTGTGAAATAATACAAATTACATGATGACATGATGCACATGTAAGTAAATGCTCCTATTGTGTATCCCTGACCGACTCTTTGTCAAATTTGATTTACAGCTCAACCAAACCAAAGAGAAAGGCTGAACATGTTGAACAATCAAGCTTCTTTTTTAATGGAAATGTTCCTGTTCAGCACAAACAGTGGAACGACAGCGATGACCACAGCAGCTACACACTCACAAAGGAAAAGAACAGTTCTATATGAAACCAAACACTTTCATCATTTGAATCAGAATTATTGTTAATGTCCATTAATTATGGATTATTTGTGGTATTTCAGAAATACACCTGAATTGTAAATGCCAAACACATGCAGATAGACTGTAAAATAATTAAATAGCTGTTAACAGTTGAAGCCAAACTGGTTAGCTGCTGGTGTTCTGTCCTCTGTGTGACTGAGAGAAAATCTGTAATCTGTTTTTTTTTTTAAATATCTTAATGTATTTATTTATTTATGTGCTTCTGTAAATCTTGTTTGGGCAGTCAGACCTTATGTCTAGGATCTTAGTCCAAGGCTAGTATTTTTTGGCAACGTAAGCGTGCCACAAAAGATCCCATATCCCGGTAATGAGATGTTGGCTGGCCCTTGTTAATGGTCGCTGTGGTACTCAAATTGTGCTGTTTATATCACAGCTTTTCAGCTTGTTATCATGTTAAATATGTTAACAATGTTTAAATATAGATTTAATGCTGCTGTTTCACTATATGCAAAAAGAAACTAGGTATGTATGTTTCTATAGCTTAACACAAATGTGGTTAACAACATTGTTTTCTAATAACTGTTCACATGAGTAGCAGGTAATATATGATGTTGTAGTTAAATAGGAACAAAGGCTGTAAAATTGAACAAATTACATAATGTGTAGTGGAACTCTGCACTAAGGTTAGACCACTCTGATGTCAATATGAATGTAAATTCCTTCCTTCACCATTTTTTTAATGTGTTTATTCTAGTGGCTTTATATTGAGAGAATTCGTACCACATGAACGTGACATGATGTATTGTAGACAATCTTTTATTCTTGAAACATTCATTATACATTCTTGAAACACAAGTTTCTTGTCATTTGACCCCTTATTGACCTCTATTGGAAACAATTTCACTGTAGTGAAGTCGCCATAATTGAAACAACTTTAAGAAACTTTGTTTTGAGATACAATTTATTTAAAATGAAATAAAAACATACACATGATGTAAGTGATACGTTTTTAATTAAGCACACTGAGCAGTGCAGCTGCAGGCAAGGTGGGCTTCTGCTGTTTCCCTCAGATTCACGCTGTTGTTGTAGATGCTGCTCAGACTCTCGGGATGTTTCAAGTCAGAATCTACACAAGTGAAAGGAGAAAAATGAAAAATGAAGGACTGTGTAATTTTTGCCCACATTTTCATATTTTGTGACTTGAACAAGCTGTGATTTCGTGCACACTCACCCGCAGGCAGGCAGTGGAAGCCAACAGTGACGGCTGTGGTATTCACAGGGAAGCAGCCGGGCAGACAGCGCAGCACAGGCTCAACAGAGTAGCATCTAGATTCCTGGCCATGGATGTTTACCTGCTTCTCCAGCTGTACAGATTCAAGCTTCATGCGGCACTCTGTAGGAGAAAGGTGTTGGTAGGCGAGTCTCTGATGCATTCAGTGCATCATTAGGTTTTTTTTAAATACTTGCATTAACCATATGCAGTGATATAACAATTGTGTTAGAAAAGGGTGGAAACATTTATCTGAAAAAGGATGTTGCTGTAAAAGTATAAACACAATGAATTTTGCGTCTCACCAGTGGTGTCCCTGCAGCTCTCAGCTGGCAGAACCCAGGAATGAGCATAACTGACTGCATTCTTGGTCAAGTGTCCGTTGGGTGTGCGGTACTCCTGTCTGACTTCCCCATCAGCCTTTCCACAGAGTCCACAGGTCTGTCCCTTCATCCAGTCCACAACTTTAACCTGCAAGGCAAGATCAAACAAGACATTACAGACGATCAATATACAGTATCTGTTGAAATAGCTCTTGAAGGTTGTCATTTCAATTTAATATATAATCTTAAATTGTCCATAATTAATGTTATAGTTACCTTCCATGAGTTACTGTCAAAGTAGACTTCATGAAGACCCAGGCTGGGAGCGAACACAGAGATACCCTCACCATTTGGCCTGATCTGGATTTTAGCTGTTAGAACAAAACAGGATCATAGTAATTTATTTCAAGCCAGTTTAGATACATTACATGAAAATACTTTCATAAGGTTTGGGTATTGGAACCATAATGTGTAGTTTGCAGTGGTAAATTAAATGTTATTACTTAAGTGTAAAATTTTGATGGTGGGATGAATGTGTATAGAAACCTGTGGGATGCTGGTATGGCAGGTTGTTGATGGGTATTTCCATTCCATTGACCTTCACAATCACGTCAGTGTTCTTCGGGTACAGGTCAATATCACTACAAGTCCATAAATTAAAATGTTATTTAGTTTTGTCCGCTTGTGGATGAAAACCACAGCTTCTTTCTTGTTTTTAATAGACACTCACATGTCAGCAATTTTTACATTGATATGGTTCTGTTTGATGTTATCCTTCTTCAGCAGAACCATGAATTTCAGCTCATCTGTGCAATCCTGTGCCAGAACTTGGTAGCAAGACAACGGCATTTCGTACTTGTATCTCCTGTTGTTGAACGTGGTCAGTGTTTCCTTGCTGAAGCTACATTCGGCTGTGAAGACAAAAACAAAAGTTTTATTCTCTGGAAGATAACTGCCAACATTTATGTTAAACAGTATGGTCCACATACGATATATTACCTGCAGCAGCCTTGGCAAACAAGTAGTGGACTTTATCAGCAAGGCCATCGAATGGTGTGAGACCTTTGATTTCAGCAAGTGGCAGAGTGATGGGAAGACGCAGAGCCAGCTTATAGACAGTACGCTGTAGACAGAATAATTCACATAAATTAAAGAAAAACAGTAAAAAATAAACATGGCTTCATATTTTGGGAGAACTACTTAATTATTCATACTGTTGGTGTTTTCCAAATTAAGTCAAGGGTCCTGTCAGATGTGGCAACCACTGTAAGTGAGAGCTGATTGGCGATGTTTTGATCCTTTTCTTGAATCAAGCCAGCAAGCATGGAAGCAGGAATGTAGTCATACACCCTGTAAAATAATTTCAAGATATGAGACATTTTATATTGTCTATATTGCATGCGAGCAGGCTAAGGATGCCAAATTAAGTTTCATACCTCTGTGCATAGTGTTTAAGTGCGGAAGGTAGTTCAGTCCAGGCCACTCTGATGCGAGCTGCAGGGCTTGGACCAACAAGACCAGTCTCGGCTGTGATTATGGTGTTGTACTGCTTGCATTCTGCTCCCCAGCCAATTTTAGCCTATTGAGAGACAGTAGATGTGACAAGATGGCAGCTGATTTTAACAGTATCCTTTTTATATTATATCCTAAGATCTATGGCATAAGCAAGACAGTGTCTTACTGTGACTTTGTGCTTGCTAAGCAGAGCTCCATCAGCACAAAGCTTCCAGTTGTTATTAGCAGCCAAGGCAGCCAGAATAATCTGAAGTCTGGTGGTAGGTCTGTCCAAGTAGACTGCCAGTTGGTATCCCAACACATTCTTGTCAGCTCTCATAGCACGGACGATGATTGCAAAGGTAGGAGCTACTTCGTTGCCAAGAAATTTGTTCTGTGGGAACAGAATCATGGTTAATGCATCTGAGTACACCAACAAACCCATAAATTAAAAGATTTTAAGGGTTTTTAAATTTTTTTAACATGACCGAGATTCACCTGTCTCTGGATGGCTTCAAAGCTTGAGGCACTGCTTCTGCTCCTGGAAAGTGCTGCTGAGGTTACTTGGAAGGAGAGAACCTACAACAATAATGTATGGCCACCATGAAAAAGCTGCAACACAAGTTAACATGTTCAAACTGTACAATACATTTTCATTATGTGAAGCACCACCTAAACGTACCTCCTTCTTGTGGTTCTTCTGGAACTTGTGGCGATAAATCACTTGCTATTTAGAAGAAATATTTAGTCAGAGTCCACGCTTACTGTGATATGTAGACACATAAACATTCTTCCATGCAAAGTCACAAAAATGGAGCGAAGCCTGCGAGGCTAGGTTAGGGGCAGGTTCAACTTGAGCTGCGCTGACTACACACAACATGCCTTATTCCAACTCACTTACCAAGCGCTCCCTTCCTAATCTGGTGGTCTATAAACTGCACAATTTTCCCAGTTCTCCCTCTTGCTCTGTAATGTCGCTCTCTTGCCCTGCATCCGTTATTGCTGTCTGCTGCTCCTGTAAAGCTCTTGCTGCTTGCAATAAGCCCCACCACCCCAGCATCCACCTGTAGGCTCCGACTGGGGGTTAAGGTATTTGCGCATCACTCCCCAATATCTCTATGTAAACATATCTGCGGGGAGTGATGAGGTCGGAGCCTAGACGCCAAAATCTAAATTATGCTTAATAAACATTCCAAACGTGAGTTGGCTGACTGAACTGTCGAAACTTTTACTATATCCTTACAGAAGTACATAAGACAGATTTAAAGAAACCTTGGGACTTGAAGATAGTTGATTGTTGAGACTCATTCCCAGCGTCTGTATATGACACCCTGGGAATGATCAACAATCAACTATCTTTCTTGGCTCTGATTGGTTGTTTTCATTCAGGCCCGGTGGATTCTTGTAAATGCAATCAGAAGCACTAGGAGGAACCAGAGGAACAAAAAATTGTTTCACAGATTATCTGTTTCATGT